GATGACGTGCAACCAACTGAGCCACATTGGCCAGGTGTCACTCCTGATTCTTAACCACCATACATGGGTATGGGACCAGCCCATTTCACATCTTCACCTCCTCCTACCAGTGTCAATGTGGCTTCTTCTTTATAATCTTAGCTATAGGAGTTCTGTTCAGCTAATCGTCAGGTGTTTTTCAAGGGTTGGTATTCTGTTTGAAATTTTGATGTGGTGTAAGAGGAGGCAAGCACAATATTTACTCCACCATCTTGACCCAGAGTCTTAATTAACAATGTGCTTTTATTTTCCCTCTCCAATCATTTGACATGTTAGTATCATGAATCTCACAATACATTATTAATTTTTGCTTTAAACATTTAGTCAATATTATTAAATATAAAAATATATTTTTTAAATTTTTATTTATTGATTTTAGAGGGGGGGGGGAGACATCATTTTGCTGTTCCACTTATTTATGTATTCACTGGTTGATTCAGGTGGAGATTGAGCCTGCAACCTTGGTGTATTGGGTCGATGCTCTAACCAACTGAGCTAAGCAACCAGAGCAAAAAAAAAAAAAAAAAAATTTAAATGTTTTAAATATTTACTTACATATTGTGTCTCATACTCTTTATTCTTGTGTTGTAGATGTATATGCCCAATTGGTATCTACTATTTGCCTAAGAATGTTTTTAAATTATTCTTATAGTACAGGCCTGCTGGAAATGAATGATCTCATCTTTCTTTATATGAAAACAAATTTTTATTTTCCCTTCCTTTTTATTAAATATAAGTTTATTTTATATCTCAAGGTGTTATTTGTGTGCCAGAAACATTTTACTATGGTTGAAATGAAAATACGTACTCAATTTATTAAATTCAATACCCTACTTATAAAGTTTTTAAATTTAGCTTATATACCTTATTTCATTTATAAATCTAACAAGTTAATCATTATTTTGAGTGATACTTTCATTCCATTTTTAATTAACTAAAATTCTTTAGATGTTTTTAACTGCAGTTATCTAATATGTTTTCTTTCTTTTGGTACTGCAGTTTTCTGACTTAATTTTTTCAGAATACTTGTCTTAAGTAATCCTTACCCTAAATGACTAGCATATGTCACTTAGGATAAAGTTCTCAAGATTCACTCATGTTGTAGCATATTGAAGAATTTCCATCCAAAAAAAGGATGAATATTTCATTGTGTATACATACCAAATTTTGCTCATTTATTCATCAGTTGATGGACACTTGTGTTGCTTCTACATTTTAGCTATAGTGAATAATGCTATTATGAACATAGGTTTATAAATATCTCTTTAAGACAGTGCTTTCATTGCCTTTGGATATATATAACCAGAAGTGGGATTGCTGGATCATATGGTATTTCTATCATTTGGTTTTTGAGGAACCACTATAGTGTTTTGTACAATGGCTGTATTGTCTTACATTTCAACTAGCAGTGCACAAGAGTTCCAGTTTCTCCACATTCTGAGAGGTGTGAGGTGGTATCTCATAGTTTTTATTGGCCTTTTCCTAATGATTAGGGATGTTGAGCATCTTTTCATGTGCTTATTAGCCATACATAATCTTCTTGGGAGAAATATCTATTCAAGTTCTTTGCCTACTTTTGAATTGGGGTAATTGGTCTTTGTTGTTTAGATTTAGTTTTCTCTGAATTCTAGATATTAATCCCTACCAGACATATTATTTATAAGTATTTCCCCTCATTATGTGGGTTTCCTTTTTACTCTATTAATAGTGTCTTTTGATGCAATAAATTTAAATTTTTTGTGAAGGCCAATTTGTCTATTTTTTTTTCTTTTGTTGCCTGTGTTTTGTTGTGATATCCAAGAAATTAATGCCACATCCAATGTCATGAAGATTTTCCTCTGTGTTTTCTTCTAAGAGTTTTATTCTTTTAGTTCTTACATTTAGGTCTTTAATCCACTGTGTATTTATTTTTGCATATGGTGTTAAGTAAAGGTCCAACTTCATTCTTTCCATGTGAATATCCAGTTTTCCCAGCTCCATTTGTTGAAAGGATTGTCCTTTCTCTCTTGAATGGTCTTCACACCCTTGTCAAGAATCATTACCATGTATGCGGGAGTTTATTTCTGCTGTATTCTATTCCAGTATATTGTTCTGTCTTTATGCTTGTATCATATTGTTTTGATTACTTATAGTAAGTTTTGAAATCAGGAAATGTGAGTACTCCAGTTTTGCTCTTTTTTAAAGATTGTTTTGGCTATTCAGGATCCCTTGAAAATCTATATGAATTTTAGAATGGATTTTTCTATTTCTTCAAAAAACATCATTGGGATTTTGATATGGATTGCATTGAATTGGTAGATTGCTTTGGGTGGTACTGTTATCTTAATAATGTTAATTCTTCCAGTAAATAAAGATGGGTTGTATTCTAATTTATTAATGTCTTTTTAAATTTCTTTCAGCAGTGTTTTTTAAATCTTGCACATCCTTGGTTAAGTTCTTTTCTAAGAATTTTATTCTTTTCAAGGCTATTGTAAATGGAATTGTTTCTGTAATTTCCTTTTCAGATTGTTCATCATTAATGTATAGAAATGCAACTAATTTTGTGTGTTAACTTTGTATCCTGCTACTTTGCTGAATTCATATATTCTGTCTTTTTACGGGAATCTTTAAGGTTTTCTACATATGAGATAATTCCTGGTGCTTCCTACTGTGCCATCTTCCCAGCATTCTCCCTTATCTTTATTATGAAGGAATTTAAGTTAACAGTTTTCCTTCATCATTTAAAATATGTTGTTCTATTGTTTTTTATCTTTCATAGTTTTATGAGAAGTATGCACTATGCTTCTATTTATTTCTGTGTAAATATGTGGGTTTTTTTTTTTTTTCTGACTACTTTTACAATTTTCCTCATCAGTTTTTCACCAGTTGGTTATAATAATCTTGATGCGGGATGTGTGCATGTATAAGTGTACTCTTATATTTATCCTTCATTGTACTTATTAAGATTCTTGTATCTTTTGATGCATAATTTTTATCAAATTGTGAAGATTTTTTTATTTACTCAGATTTTTTTTTCTGTTCCTCCTTTCTTTTTAGAACTCCAGTTACAAATGTATAATGCTGCTTGCTATAGTTTCACAGTTCATTTGGGTAGATTCTGTTGCTACATCTACAAATTCACTGATCTTTACATGATCTGTAATATCTAATCTGCTGCTAGTTTCATCCAGTAAAATTTTCATTTCAGTTGCTATATTTTTTCAGCTGTAGAATTTTTATTTTTTATATCTTATAGTTATATATTCATTATAATAATGTTTTCCTTCATATCTATTTTATACATTATCTATATTTTTATTTTACATGATTTAATACTCTGTTTACTAATTCTGACATTTTTTTTCATCTCCAAGTTTGCCTATATTGAGTAATTTTTCTAGTCATGGTTACATTTTCCTGGTTCCTTACATGTCTGGTAATTTTTATTTACATATTGGACATTGTTATTTACCATGTTGGGTGCTATATTCTTTTGTATTCTTTGAAAGATTTTGGACTTTTCCTAGTAGGCAGTTACTTGCAGATTAGTTTGATTCTTTGTAGGCTTATTTTCAAGTTCTTTGATGGGAGGCTCAAAAGTAATTCTAGTTCTGGCCTGTGTGGTTCAGTTGGTTGGGTGTCATCCCATGTATCAATAGGTTACCATTTCAATACCTGGTTAGGGTACATGCCCAGGTTGCGGGCTCCATCCCCAGTTGGGGGTATGTAAGAGGCAGCCGATTGATGTTTTGCTGTCACATTGATGTTTCTCTCTCTCTCTAAAAATTAATTTAAAATATTTTAAAAAGTAATTCTAGTTTTAAATTATTGCCATATCTAAGGTGTGGCTCTCTGGAGTCTCTAAAGGGTATGATGCAATTAGTAAAGGTCCACTCTCATTTTATGGACCTTGAATGATTCACGCCTCTTTATGAGTTCTGCAAATTTTTTGTCTTAGAAGTTTCTGGTAAAATGTTATTCTTGGAAGTTGTTCTTGGCAAACTTTATAGAGTATTACTCTGTACATCTGCACATTGATATTCAATCATATACTTAGGAACCTCTGTACATATTTACCTAGGTCAATCAAGATATCTCTCTCTCTCTCTCTCTCATAGCTTCATTCTCTATGGGACTCTAGCCCACAAATTCTAGCTGTCTTGACCTCTCCTTAACATGATCTCTCTCTCCTCGTTTCAGTGCTATAGCTGGGTATGTTTCAGGTTTCCCCTCCCTGTGCCATGGTCCTGTATTCACCTGCGAAAAGGAAGCCTGGGTAATGGTAGAGCTTATTTCATCTCTTTGTCTTTTCTGAGATCATCATACTGTGCGCTGTTGTCCGGTGGCTGAAAAAACTATTTCCCTCATTTTGTCCAATTTTGTAGTTGCTTATGGGCAGGAAGCTAAGTCTCAACCCTGTTTCTCCTTCGTGGCCACTACAGGGTTCTTTTCATTGGTATTTCAATGGAAAAGAAGACAGTTTTTCATAAAAGCAGAGATTCTTCAAGGCAAATAAGGGAACCAGGAACTTTTCTAATGATACCATCTGATGTGAAGGGTCTAGGACCAGAAATACTAAGGGCAGGTTCCTACCTGGGAAATGGGTCAGAAAAACACAGGAAAATTGGTGGATACTTGCTTAGCATAGTTCTGGGACCTCAGGGCCTTTCCCTAGCACCACCCCTCTCACTCTTGGGTCACTACTGTACCTGCTGTTTTCTTGATGCCAGAAAACACCTGGATAGGGATGCTACTCTTTCACCATCCTTGATGTGAGACATCACAAAAGATTGAGCCCTAGGGCAAAAAAATATGGGTGTCAAAGTGTAAATGACTGGTACTTAAGCCTTTGATGAGATTTGGGAGTTGGTAAGGAACCCAAGTAAAAGTGATTTTGATAGTCTTTCTGAGAACTTTTGTGTGCCAAGGTGGCTGAGTTCAGCCTGTCCAACACTTCCCCTCTTTTCCCCCTCTACCTGCAGTATTGATGGGGTGCCTTTTCTCATGCATGACCATGACCTGAGAAGAACAACCAATATCATGGAGGTCATGCCAAATTCATCCCGCATACAAAGTTCCTTCTTCTATTGGAGTTTCTTGTCAACTCTGAATGCTGGCAAATGGTTTGTAGACTCATGGGTAAGACATTCCCCATTGCAACAATCCTGTATTGGTTCCCTCTCCTGTGTAAGGTCATGTGCTGGTCCTGGAGATAAAGGCTTTAGATGAAGAGTCAAGCATATACACAATTTCATTCCAATTTGATAGCAGGATTATAAGCATTGGCAGGAGGGCTTTTTCAGTAATGCTATCTTTCTGCAATCACTGGAAATTCTGAAGACCAACTTGTAAACTTACATTTGCTATTTAATTCCCTTTTACCCAAACATTTTATAAACTTTTATAGTGTGCCCACCATGTACATTATACTTTCCTTGGTATATTGAGTGGCTCATAATCATAAATGAGGCAGACTAGAAAACTTATTCTTGATTCCATCTTCTTACTGTTCAACAAATATTTACTCAGTACCTATTGGATACTATACACACAGAATACAATGGTGAATAAACACACATACAGCCTTAATGGAGTTCACATGCTAGTTTATAAATCAGGTAATTATAATACATTGTGATAAGTGCTAAACTAGAGTTAAATTTTCAGGTTGCTCAGGAGCACAAAGAAAATTTTCTAACTCAGGCTGATGGATGGGTTAGGGATTCTGGAACAAGATATAGGCTAATAAAGGTGTGGTAAAATATAAAGCATGTGTTGTGTACAGTGTAATTTTGAGGTAAGAGTGAATGTTTCTACCTGAGATAGCTGGAGAATACTTTATGTAAAAGTATCATTTTAGCTGAGGGAATATAATTTCTAAGGGGAACCATGGGCAATGATGGGGGTGTGTTCAGAAATTATAGTGTATTGGAGCCAGAGGAAATGTGTGTGTGTGTGTGTGGGGGGGGGAATAATCTGGGAAAACGTTGAGAGCAAATTGTAGCAATGCTTAAAAAACAAGTTAGAGTTTAAGAATTTTTTGAATTTTTTAAAGTGGGTAAAATAAAATGTCAAATTTGCATTCAATGAAAGTCAAGCCTGCCTTTTCAAGATAAATTAAAGAAAACAAAACAACTTACATTTTTCAGCTTAATTGTATATGTAGGGGAATCCATGTGACTGAGGTTTTACCAATCAGATACACTAATTTGAGACTTAACTTTGGAAATAAACATCAGAGCAGGACAGCCAGCAGGCTCACATTGCTGGCACCTGTGGAGCAGAGCACATGCCCTGGGATCAGCTGTGGTAGTCGCTGTCTTAGCAGGTAATAGTGTAATTAGGAAAATAAATATTAACATATTTTTTAAATTATGCACTATGAGTGGAATGAAATTTTATTTATATTTAGTGTTCATCCTGAAGACTTATTTTATCCTTTTTCATGTAAAAATAGTGAAAAGTGAAGAACTATATAAGGAGGGACTTATCCACTTCAGGTTCATTCTTTTAACTTAAGGGATAATCGAAAGTAAATTTTTTATTACTGGGTCTCTTCAGAAAATGTGTTCTCATAGTTCTCATAGAACCTATAAATGCTGGTTCTACATGTGAAAAAAATGAGATCCCTTGATATTCCAGGTGTCTGCATATATAGGCCCTTTCTGTGTCTCATCATACATGAATAAATAGACACATACAAACTGGAGATGCTCCATTAAAAAATATATATTGGATTAATTAGTTATAGTTAATGTGTTGGCAAATGTGTGTTCCAGATGAAAAGGCTATTATATCTGATGTATAATATATGGTTCATAAAAGTTACTTACTGTAAATGCTAGGGTTGGGTACATTACTCTAATACATTTTGGTGGATTTTTTTTTTTTAGGATTAATAGCTTTATTTTAGCATACTTAGCCAGTATGTTCACAGTGTTTAGTTATACTATTACTATGGCTACTGAGGACTATCCTGAAACCTGGGGTTCAAATATGGTTATTTAATCCTCACCTAAAGATATGTTTATTACAACAGAACTCATATGCATGTATGCATGAACAATGGGCATGGACAACAAAGCTGGGGACAAGGTGGGGAGTGGGGGGGGTTATCAGTTGGGGAAAAAGGAGAAACATCTGTACCAAAAATAAATAAATTAATAATACAAAATATGTTTATTGATTTTTAGAAAGAGAGAGAGGATCATCCATGTGAGAGAGAAACATTGATCAGTTGCCTCCCGTACACGCCCTGGCCAGGTATCGAACCTGCAACCTTTCCGTGTATGGGATGATGCTCCAACCAACTGAGCCACACTGGCCAGAGCCAAATATTGTTATTTAAGGAGCTTTAATTTTAGGTTTGACTGTGAAGATTTCTTTGCTTGCATGCTCTGTGCCCAGAGGTGGTTGAAGTGGTGTTGGCATGTGATTTAAAAGATTTGGCTGTTTGGATAATTTTTGTTAAACAAAAAAATTGTTTATTTGTTAAACAAAAAAATTGTTTCTTTGTTTTGTTTTGTGGGTATTCTTGTTGTTCTTCACTAGATGGGTATACTTATGGATTGATGATGGTGGTCAGTTGATAATTATTTTTTGGTTATATTTATTATTCTTGACATTACTTATGAAAATTAAACAGTTCATCTCATCAATAACAAAATAAAAACAGATACAGAACTTCTAGGCATTATTTCTGGAAGTTTAGCTGCATTCTTGTTTCTCCAGCAAAACCAACATTTCTATTTTTTTTAATGTTTCTTATTGATTATTATTATTTTTTAAATTAATTAATTAATTTATTTTTGTTACAGATGTTTCTCCTTTTCCCCCCACTGATTCTTCCTTCCCCCTGCCTCCCTGCCCTGTCCCCAGCTTTGTTGTCCATGTTCACTGTTTATGCATACATGCATATAAGTTCTGTGGTTTATCTCTCCCCCACCATCCCCTCTTCTGGGGATTGTCAGTCTGTACCCCACTTCTATGTCTCTGGGACTGTCACATTCCTCAGACTGTTATGTTCATTGTATTCCACAAATAAGTGAGATCATATGATACTTATCTTTCTCTGTTTGGCTTGTTTCGCTTAGGATAATACTTTCCAGGTCCCTCCATGTAGTCTCAAAGGATAAGAGATCTTTCTTTCTTACAGCTGCATAGTATTCCATTGTGTATATGTACCACTGCTTTTTTATCCATTTGTCTACTGATGCACACTTGGGCTTTTTCCAGATCTTAGCTATTGTAAATAGTGCTGCTATGAACATGGGGGTACATATATTCTTTCTGATTGGTGTTTTAGGCTTCTTAGTGTATATTACTAGAAGCGGGATCACTGAGTCAAATGGAAGTTCAATTTTTAATTTTTTGAGGTAACACCATATTGTTTTCCGTAGTGGCTGCACCAGTCTGCATTCCCACCAGCAGTGTATAAGAGTCCCCTTTTCTCCACACCCTCGCCAACACTTGTTGTTTGATGATTTGTTGATGGCGGCCATTCTGACAGGTGTGAGGTGATACCTCATTGTTATTTTAATTTGCATCTCTCTGATGATTAGTGATGATGAGCATTTCTTCATATGTCTCTTAGCCATTTGTATGTCCTGTTTGGAGAGGTGTCTATTTAGCTCCTCTGCCCATTTTTTAATTGGGTTCTTTCTCTTCCTTTTGTTGAGTTGTATGAGCAAACTATATATATTGGAAATTAACCCCTTATCTGATATATCATTGGCAATTATGCTCTCCCATACAGTGGGTTACCTTTCTCTTTTGATGATTGTATCTTTCGCTGTGCAGAAGCTTTTGAATTTAATGTAGTCCCATGTGTTCATTTTCTCCTTTGTTTCTATTGCCTTAGGTGATGTATCAGTGAAAATTCTGCTGCAGATGATGTCTGAAATTTTGTTGCCTACAGTTTCTTCTAGGATTTTTATGGATTCGTGAGTCACATTTAAGTCTTTTATCCATTTTGAGTTTATTCTTGTGTATGGTGTAAGTTGATGGTCTAGTTTCATTTTTTTGCATGTAGTTGTCCAATTTTCCCAACACCATTTATTAAAGAGGCTTTCCTTACTCCACTGTATGCTCTTGCCACCTTTGTCAAATATTAATTGAGCATATTGCCTTGGGTCCATTTCTGGGTTCTCTGTTTTGTTCCACTGGTCTATATGCCTGTTCTTGTGCCAGTACCAGGCTGTTTTGATTATGGTGGCTTTGTAGTATAACCTGAAATCTGGTAATGTGATCCCTCCAACTTTGTTCTTCTTTTTCAAGATTGTTGTGACTATTTGAGGTCTTTTTTGGTTCCATATGAACTTTTGAAGCATTTGTTCTACTTCTGTGAAGTATGTCATTGGTATTTTTATGGGGATAGCATTGAATCTATAGATTGCTTTGGGTAGTATGGGCATTTTAATTATGTTAATTCTTCCAATCCATGAACAGGGTATGTGCTTCCACTTTTTTATATCTTCCTCTATTTCATTTTTCAATGACCTGTAGTTTTCTGCGAATAGGTCCTTTATTTTTTTGGTTAAGTTTATTCCTAGGTATTTTAATTTTTTTTGCCTCAATGGTAAATGGGATTGTTTTTCCAGTTTCTCTTTCTGTGAGTTCATTTTTGGTGTATAAGAATACCATTGATTTCTTGACGTTAATTTTGTATCCTGCTACTTTGCCAAATTCATTTATTAAGTCTAGTAAATTTATTTATTTATTTTTTATCCTCGCCCGAGGACATTTTTTCCATTTTTTGTTCAGGTAGAGTGGGAGGGAGAGAGGAAGAGAGAGAAAGAGAGAAACATTGACGTGAAAGGGACACATCGAGTGGCTGCCACCCGCACAACCAACCAGGGCCGGGGACAAACTGCAACCGCGGTATATGCCCTTAGCGGGAACCAAACCCGGGTCTCTCTGGACCGCAGGCCGATGCTCTAACCGCTGAGCCAAACCAGCCAGGGCAAGTCTAGTAAATTTTTGATGGAGCCTTTGGGGTTTTCTATGTATAGTATCATGTCATCTGCGAATAATGACAGTTTCAATTCCTCCTTTCCAGTTTGGATCTCTTTTATTTTTTCTTCATGTCTGATTGCTGTGGCTAAGACTTCCAGTACTATGTTAAGTAAGAGTGGTGAAAG